AGTCAAACAGAATATAGCAATGTATTGTACTGGAGGCAGAGGCAACGCAATCACATCACATACCTGGGTTCAAATTAAGATATCCCTACATTACAGATAGCTTAATTAAATTAAATCTAAAATTGTTTTTGCAGCAACTAACTGTAAATTGTTAAACAGCTATTTCTTTGTAGAACTGATTTAAATTTCACAGTTGTTTCTCTTTCTATTTGTGCTTTAGATTTCAGTCTTATTTGCTGTGGCACTGGGAGGCAGGTCAGCAGTAAATCCAACAGGAAATGCAGGCTTATTTGCTTTCACGTTGAGAGTTTGTATCCCATGTTGAAAGACCCTTATCGTGTGCCAAATGTCTCATCTGACTGGCTTTGAGGTTGGTTGCTCTCTTCCAAAAACACAACAGACCCGACTTTTCATTAGCAAAATAAATAGATGCACTCCCACCCAAAAACAAAATGATCAACTGGGAAAAGGAGCCAGTTTGGTAATGACCACCCAAATTTAATGGAAATATACCACAGACACCATTTTTTCCCCTGGTTCTAAGAAAAACAGTTGGATAAGTCAATTTACCTTAATTCCTTTTTGAAGATTCAACCCTTTTGGGTTGAAGCTCGGCGCAAACGAGCACTCGTTACATGATAATAGATGCATTTAATTGCTAAAGTAATGATTGCTCCCCCTGAAAAAAAAAAGATTCCATCAGTGCAGAATTTTCTGTTTCATTAAGCCATGGTCAGAACAAATTTGATAGCCATCTGTAGACTGAAACAAAAAGGAGAGAATAGAGGCTGATGGGGAAGAATCATTTATAGACAGTTTAGTTTTAATAGTGTTTCATTAATTCATCCATCCTTATTTTTTTCTAAAGGCCTATGTCAAGGCTTTTAATTGTACAGTCTCAATTAGTGAGTTTTTGTCGAGTTTGTGCTTTTGGTTGTTTAATGCATCGCTGGCTGGCAGCACACCAGCCCACCACTTGTTTTTATGATCAAACACTGGAAACCATGCTTCATTGCATGCAAAAGCACCCTAATAGAAAAGCTTTGGGGCCACAAGTGCTGACTCATCTTGCCTGGAGAAGAAATGGAAGCTTTTTATGTTTAGTTCTTAAATGCTTAATTTTCAGTATCCAGGCTTGTATTTTTGTGGTAATGTTTCACTCACTGTCTCTCTCTCTCTTTCTGTACCACTATGCATATGCATTCTCCTAATTTGTCTGTGACAAAAGAAAAAGAGCATGACTAAGATAAGGCTGATGGAAAGTGAGAGTCTTATGAGCCAGAAAATGATGTCAGTAAAGGCAGCTCGTCTGGTAACGGTCTGTGTGCAGGAAAGCCCCCTATCATACCCAATCAGCTCCTGTTTCTGCATGACTAATGCTGAAATAACATATCATTGTCAGACACGGCATGTTCACACAGCTGTTTCATTTTTTTCCTGCGAAGGCACTCAACAATGGCCTCTGATGCACACACACGCAGACAAACTCATCCTTATCTTTCTGGATGACACCATTTTGCTCTCTAACAATCTTGCTAATTATAATTGTTAATTAATTCTCTGCCTGTGTCCTCATCAGGAGACTAATAACCTACATTTCCATTAATTAGACCTTCAACCCCTTGCTCCCTCTCTCAGTCTCTTCGTCCCACACCAATCCACCCCATCATCCCCTGTTCGCCTGCTTCTTTGCTCCCATCTCACAGGATCTACTAAAGACCACATCTGTGCATTGTACAGTGATTAGGCATCTGTGCATGTCTTTGTATTACTGACATTTAGAGGGCAAGCATTTGTTCACACTTTTGGACTGAAATATATTGCAGAACTGCTTGAAAGTACAACCACTACTAAAAGAGCTGCCATAGTAAAAGGGTACTGTCAAAAGCATTTTATTATGTTGCCCCAAGCACCTGAAAGAATCAGCAGGTTTGCAGTTAGTAATTGCAGTTCAGTCTTAACCATTGTCATTATGCTGTGTGGTGTTAAATACTGTTTGAAGGCAAAGGGTGCATTAGTTTTGATTACTATAAAAAAAAATGTATTTGACTAAGATACAGATACATTATTCAAGCTTATTAAGTCTTAGATTATTTCTTTATTGGGGAGTGGCATTTATTTATTCCTCTTAGTTATTTTTTTTTTTGGTGGTTTTTTACATTTCAGGACTGTATACAAATATATAATAACTTAGCTAATTTTTGCAATGCTCTCTCTTCCCGCAGCTTCAAAATAATGCAATGCTGGGTTTGGTCTATTACATAAAATGCCCCAAACTACATAGAATATATGAAGGAATTTAGTAGTTTTGAAAAGGACCTTGAAAGTATGGACTGAAAATAAAATAAAAAAACTATCTTTACTAGTTTGCCTATAAGCATCTGTATTCGAAGAACATTTAAGCCTTCGTCAGATTCATGCATGCTTTCCTGGTAATGCAGATTTTCGTTGAGGTCTCAAGGTACTTTTGTTGGCACAATGGTCTGTTCTTCACTCAAAAAATAATACAATTTAAACATCTGTTGCTAATTTTTTTATTTTTTTGCCAAAGGTTACAATAATTCAATTTCTAATTTAGTATAAATGTGTCAGCCATTTCCTCGATACATATTAGATGTTAATAGGTATACTTCACCCCATACTTGTACTTCAATGGCTTTATTAATTCATCCCCATTTTTTCTGCTCTTCTTATGAAATTGATTCAGTGATTTTACAGTAGTCAATATGCTTCAGAAAACACTCAAAAAAGGTAAACATAAATATACACATTAAACATTTTAATGGCAAACAGGAGCTATAAAGTTAAATAGCAGTTTTATCCTGGTAAAAAGTAAAATTATAACAGTGAAGTCAGGTTTGATAATGTAAAAAAAATGCTGCCATTATTAACATGTTGCATGTTAATACTTTGAACTGCCTCCTTTTATCAGCAGCATAGCATTTAGCATTTACATTTCAGAAGGTTTAAAATCTGTCAAACTATTTTTGTGTTGATCTTCTTAAATTTTGGATCATTATCCTCCTGAAAGATCTAATGACCCAGTTTCAACTTTCACACAGAGATGCTTATTCAAAATCTCCCACCATGCATTTCAACAAGACTCACAAGATTTTTCTGGGAGAAACAGACCAGCAACATAACAGATAATCCACCATACTTAACAGTAATCAATATGTGGTTTGTGTAAAAAAAAATATCTGTAATTAATCTCCTATTTCATAGTGGGTTTGTTGCCTACATGGATGCTGGTAATTTCCCACTTGCAATTAGGAAAAATACACAATCCTAAATCTGTGATAGTGGGACAGAAAGAGGGTTTTTAAAGCCCACTACACAATACTTTATCTGATTCCCTGTCCTGAAAAGTCTAAATCAGTCTGCAGTAATTTCAGTCAGTCAAAAGGGAGAGACAGATTCTGGCAATGAGAAAGAAGGTGAAGACTGCAAGTGTAGGAGGGGGAAAAACACATTTAGAAAAAAACGTGTTTGTTTTTTTCTGTGCATCTGGATGTAATCAAGTAGTGTAAACTGGAGTTGGACCCAACTACAAGCAAGTGTCCAGAAGTGGAGACCGTCAACCAAAAAGAGAAGCTAAGATATAGAATAATAGCTGAAAAAATACTTTTTTTATTTGGTGGACAACACTATGAACATTAGTGCAAAACAGCATAAAACAAACTTCACTAATTATAATTAAGTGATAATCGACAAAGGATTTTATTTAAATTAAACCATTCACATGATAAATATAAGTGTAATTGGCCTAATTAAAAAAAAAAAAAAAACATTTGAAAAAATATATTTTCACCTATAAAGCAAATAGATTTTTTTAGGATCAATTTCTATGTTTAGTTTCTGTCCAAACAAATAATTGAGTATTAAGATTTAATTTAAGTTTTACAATAAAGCTGACATTGACAATCATCTAAAACAAACTCACAGACTGCCTCACAACCACAAACACTTTTCAACCTCTTAACATGACTATATCAAAGACCAGTGGGAAAGCTGTCTAAGTCATATGCACATATGGGTAAAAAGTTACATGTCTGTGGTAGAGTATTCCAGAAATATAAACCATCAAAAATCTGTGTGCTCTTGAACATTTTTCCTGTGAGTTTGGTGCAGAGTTGGCTACAGTTGATCTGAAAAATCCCACAGTCTGTTATCCCACAGCAGTAACAGCCTGTTTGTTTGATCATCGAGTCTTTTTTTATACCAGTCATGGGTGAAAGTTATTCACTAAGCTTAACGTTCTTCCTGAACTTCATAAAAAAAAAAAAAGCAAATAAAATTATATATAAATATATATAGAATCGTTTTTTTCTTTTCTTTATAGAGACTTTATGACTGATGATATTGTTGCAACAACTTCCCTCACCCTTGGTGCAAGAAAAAATCTTGGGTCATCTTACCTTTTTTATAGCAGTTTCAGTTCTTTTAGGCTTTTATATTTACTTCTCCAACTAAGGATAAGCAGAGATGGGAAGTAACGAAGTACAAATACTTCGTTACTGTACTCAAGTAGATTTTTCTGATATTTTTACTTTACTTTACTACTTATTTTTATGGCGACTTTTTACTTCTACTCCTTACATTTTACACAAATATCTGTACTTTCTACTCCTTACATTTTAAAAAATTAGCTCGGTACTTTAGTTTTGAATCATTTCAATGGAGTTACTGTTATTATTTTTCACGTCATCAATACCAAATTCAATCTAGTTGGATGGGAATCTACGTTGCATTTGACGCACAACTGCAAGATGAATCGACAGATTCTGTGGTATTCATTCGCGGCAAATCATTGCAGCTTGGTGGCGGTGGCGTTAGCACAGTAGTATGGACGACAAGATGATTGAAAATGAACACAACGGAGATCTAGTCCTATTGGCAGACATCCACTTAAAATGTAGGCAACAGCATGAAAAAAGTGGTTTCTACTTTTACTTTTATACTTTAAGTAAATTTACAAGCCTGTACTTTGTTACTTTTACTTGAGTAAAGAAGTTTAATCAGTACTTCCACTTTTACCAGAGTATTTTTTAACACAAGTATCTGTACTTTTACTCAAGTACGGAAAGTGAGTACTTTTGCCATCTCTGAAGATAAGGATAACCTTAGCTTAAATTACATGTCTGCAGTTGTACAGTATGAATGCAAAGTTTGCACTTTGATGTTTTAAATTGTTAGCTCTCTGACGTTATCAGTAGTAATTCAGTCACCTGTTGTAGATACATCGTAACAGTGGGTTTTATAGATATCCAAAAAAAAAAACCCCAGTAACCAATAAATTTCAAAATGAAGAGCAAAAGGCCATTTAAAGAAACAAAAATGCTTTAATTTAGCTTTTAATCACAGCTATTCTATTTGCGAACAAATATGTTATCAATTATTTGTTTAAAATGTTTACTTCTTATTTTTTCTTTTTCCCTACTGAACAGATATATTCCCACTCCAGTCATGATTTTTGCTTGGACAATATGTTTAAATGTTTAAGCCCCTTGGCCAACTGTTTCTACATATCGTATCCATGAGTCATATTTTTCATTATTCAAGTTAAAGTATGCTGTTTCAGACATCAAAACTGGACTCTTTAAACTTAAGTGAAGACCTTATATATGACATTTTGCTTTGTAAATGTATATGTTTGCAATCGATAGCTCGACGCCCCCTTATTGAAGTAAAATACCATTCCCATCAGGCTTAGTTGACCTGTTTTCAGGGCAGTGTGGGACCCTGTTGCCATGTCACCACTTCTTCTGATCTCATGATCATTAATATGCATTGGACATAGTGCCACTGCTCATATCTCAGGCCTTATGATTGCTTTGTTACTGAATGTTTCTTGGACATGCTGTTCTTGAATCATTTTGGTTCCTAGTAGAATATTCTTTCTCATTCCCCATTTCTCTCTTTTTTTTTTTTTTTTTGGCACAATTGAAGTGGGGACCATTTGGCACTGGATAGTCCATACTGTACTGACTATGGCAAAATGGCAGATTCTCCTTCCTCTGTCCTCCTTGCTGTGGTTCCCTCACACTCTCCTGAGAGAAGTAACCCAGATTTCAAAATGAATCGCTGCCTATTCCCCTCAATCTTTCTCCTCTCTCTCTTTCTCTATTTTTTGCCACTCTCTCTTTCTCTCTTATCCTCTCTCCATCTCTCATCCTCTTCCTTGTAAAACAGAATCAGTCTTGGAAAGAGAATACCACCTCTCCATCCCGTACTCCTACTCACCCTGCCTCTGGGTTAACGGATTTATTCCATTTTAGTGCTCTATGTTTGCTTCTTTGAAAACTTCAACCACAAAAATTGCCTGTTGCGTGCATTTGAAGTTATGTTGTTCTTTTTCACTTTTTGAGCTGCTTTTTTGCTCCTAGACGCTGCTTTTTCTTGGTTCCTTATGCTTTTTGGGGGTTTGTTTTTTTATTTTGTATACTTTCCTTATTTGAGTTGATCAGCTACAGGTCCACCCCACATTTTCAATTGAAGACATTGAGACGAAGAGTGAAGCAGAAGAAAAAGGATAGACGGTCTTTGGCAAGCTCTCTTCAAAGTTACCAAAAACTGAGGTATTTAGTGTTTTCCATCTCTGTAGTACAGGTTGGTACACGTCTCTTAAGTATTTTTAATCAGGCTAATTATAAGCCATTGTATATGCATTCTTTTTAAGTTTTTGCTTTAATGCTGAGATGATCAATTTACCATGAAATTTTGCTAGTTGCATTTTTTTATTCATCAAATTGCCAAAAGGCATTTATATGGATTTCAGCAGAGTGTAACTCACTTCCTCCATCCAATATTTGCCTTTTTGAACTTCTTCTCTGCATGTTCCATTCCCTGCAGATGAGAAAATGTTATTCTGGCCCAAACTTTCTGCAGAAATAGAACTAATTGCTAATAAGGGCAGGCAGGAAGACGACGAGAGGATGCAGGCTCCAGTACTGGAGCAGCTGGTGGGGTGTTGTTGACATGGCAACAGGAGGTAGTTGACATAACGACTGAGGGGTGGGTTGGGTGTGGGTATTCATAGCATATGAGGGGTGCAGCAGGATGGACAGCCAGTATTTGGGACACACAGCTAGTTGAGCTAATTGTTTAGCTTCTTAGAGTTTCTCAAGAGACCTTTTTCTCTGTATTTGAATTAACCTCCCTGTCTTCTTCATTATGACTCTCTTTTTTTTCCTTGTGCTTCCTACCTGTCGCTTTCTGTACTCCCTCCATCTCCTTCTCGATCTTTCCCTTCATCATGCCACTCTTTCTCTGCTCCCTACCCTACAATCTGTCTTCCATTATTATCACTTCCTGTCTTTGTGTGACCTATTATGTCCATTGTCCTCCTTGCTCCCGCCCCCCCACATTCTCCAACACACATCTCTTAGCCTTCTCTTGACATATTCTACAGGCATCATGTCCACCCCAGTGTCCCCTTCCCCATCCCTCTCCCCCCTAACACTGACCTCCCCAACATCACCATCCTCCGCACTGCCGTCACCCCTCTCCCCTCCACCCAGGGTGCCCGTGTTTCAAAGGAAGGGAGCACTCAAACACAAGAGGATTGTAGAGGTGAAAGACCATCAGTTCACAGCACGCTTCTTCAAGCAGCCCACCTTCTGCAGCCACTGCACCGACTTTATATGGTAAATCACGCACACACAAATTCATACGCTGTTGCACATTCATACCGGAACCACCCCAGCAGATCATATGCTGCCTCTTCAGGCATCCCAACTCTCAATCTAGTGCAGGCTTTCACCATTTTTTTTTCACTCTTTCTTGAATTCCAGCTGCCAGCTTGAGATACTGCCCACACTGACCTGATGTGATCACATAACCTCATCTCCACACTGCTGCCCACACCATGCAGGAGTCAGTTTGGGAACTTCATGCTCTGTCTCACATAATAAGCACACACACAAACCAAAAAAATATCTGTCAGGAATGAGTATAAACCGATATGAGATGTTCATGGTCTTAAAACCTCATGGTTTCACAGTATCGTGGTATTTCAATGTACAGTTAATGGTATACTTTGATGCTTCAGTAACAATTAACTCAATCAGTATTTTTTCTAAAGGTATTTCCAATCATCTTTGATCATCAAATATATTTTTTTAAAACATAATTTCAAACTGAAAACATTTTCCTTTTAAGATGAGCACCGATTAATTTTAGGTATGTGCATTAAAACATAATGATATACAGTTTAGCCCAAAGTTATTCATACCCCTTGTAGACTTAGGTAGACAACCTCTGGAACCTCAAAAATTTCTTCCAACCATGAAGACTTTCAAAATAGTCTGTCAAATAGTAGTCAGCGATTACAAGAAAGGTTTGAATGCCAAAATGGCATAAAAAAAATCTCCTATGTATTTGTTAGTGTAGAGGTATTTTATGATTAATTTTATGTCAATAAAAACAGGTTAATATATATTTTTTAATTGGTTACTTGTTATGTTATATCAAAAATAAACTTGTTGGTCAAATTAGATTAATTTTAAATTTAATCATACATGGTTATGAACAATTTGGGACTCATCCGTACTCATCCTACTTTCACAGTCCTCCCAACTGAACAAAATCAGTGTGGGGTGCAGTGTGGGGTTAAGGGTCTTGCTCAGGGACCATAAAAATGCAGTCTGGCAGTCTGTTGGAGTTGGGCTTGAACTCAGAACCTCAGGATTCAAGCCATGCCCTAACCACTAGTGCGCCACTCCCCTAAAAATAAATAAATAAACATCCCCTAAAAAAATGATGATAACATTTACTGAATGTAGACTAAAATACTGTAAAATATTGCTTTTAAACTTATGTACAAAAACATTTTACCATTTTCTAGTATTTTTCAGTTTTTAAGGGAAACTTTACTCTACTTGACTGTAACTAGCCGGTGCTGTTTGAATGAACCTATCCTATTCATCTCTCATTCAGCTCTTTGTAAGGAATTCTTAAACTTAAATGAGATTGAAGCAATGATTTATTATTTTAGGTAGAATTAAATAAATAAACAGTGATGTGAAGAACTAAATTGGATTGAAAACTCAACTGAAGATAATAATTTCCCAAAATTAAGTTCCCTGATAAAATTATGAGTTGCTTACTTCTTCTCAAGACATGTTTTTCTAGAAAGTGATTCTGATTTATCCTTTGTAAATGGTGGAGTTATGTAGAGAGGGCCATCGCTTTTTCACATATTTTAGTTTACAGATAGTGCTCAACAGCCCACCTAGTGAGGAAATCTTTTTTTTGCTCCTATTAGTATCTGATATTTTGCTTTCTTTTGTGCTTAAAACTTTACACAATGATAAGCTGTCACATACAGTAGAAAAGAAATCAAGTACTTTACCATAGTTCTTAACGTTTTTTGAGAAAAATTCTTCACATGCAAACTATGTTGCTTGCATCACCTTTTTGACCTAGATATTACAGCAAAGCATGTGGCTTCATAATTTAACAAAAAAATATGTTTTGCAGTTACTGCTGTTATTGGTTCTATAGAACGGCTGTTAAATGTATTAGGTGCATTTTCTTTCGCTCCATCCATCCATCCATCCATCCATCCATCCATCCATCCATCCATCCATCCATCCATCCATCCATCCATCCATCCATCCATCCATCCATC